AGCTTTCCCAAATTGTGGATCTCAACATAGTTGAACATCCCCATTTTTTTAATTTTTCAAATTTAATGACCAATAATCACATAGCATGGGGCAAAGAAGGTAAATGCCATCACAAAGTTGAAAGCCTTAGCTTAAAGAACTGAGATGCTTTCAGGAAATGGTTATTTATTATGTATGCCAATATCTGCAAAACATCTCCACAGAGACACAGCCACTAAACTTGCTTACAAAGTGAACCACAACTTGCTTTTTGAGACCAGATCAGAAGGCTGCCTTTACAAAGAGAGCATATATTATGTTGAACTCCCCAGTTCTATAATGTCAAAAAGCCCAGAATGGTTGGCACTGATGGAAGCAGCTATGGACTAGGTGGAGTGTTTCCACAACTGCATGGCTCAGAATGGATGCATTCTGCCCCATAATTCTTAACAAAGCAGGAAAATGCCATGCACGAATAAAAAGAAGCGCCTTGTGAACAAAGCTGGATGAATATTTGAGATGTGAACAGCTCACTAAAGTCTCTCAACAGTTATCCTAAGGTACTAACCTAGTTCCAAAGGAGCACTTATGGTGATGAAACAGTTTATGGCCATATTTAAAAAAAGATTTTGCACACGGGACAAATAAAAGCCAATGTTATAAAAGCAGGTGGATGAACCTCATTCCTGTTCAGAAGGGCCAGCACATGATCTCCCACTTCTTTATCCTTTGTCTTAGTGGTGCATGAGGCTCTGTGTGGCCTTTCCTGAAATGCATATTTACCATAGGTGCAATCTAATAAGCACTGATCTCATACAACCCCCATTTGTGCTCATAGAAAAGCATAACTTGGCATCTTAAGGCTGTCTGCCTCACCAAATGCTAATAAGCTAGACAGATAATTCTTTAGTTAGCATAACCTAACAAAGCACAAGATACGGTTTATGGCTGTCTTGGGTCTGGCTGTAAGCATTAGTTCTGTTAATATTTCCCAGTATTAAATGCTGATTATTACTATTGAGGAATGTGATGCAGGGATTAACTCTGGCTCTCAGGAAACCCAGTGTACTACAGACCTCCCAGAAAGGAAGAATGAGAGTTAGTGATGATTTAGACGGGGAATGGAAAATACAACAATTATAACAATGTCAGCACCTCAACCAGTAGCACATTTACACCTCCTGTCCTCTGTGCTGAAAACCTCTTCTCAAAAGTATATAGTAAAAATTAAGGAGGAGTGGAAAGAAGAGCATCCTAGCAATAGTGACAGGCACACATATGTATATAGAGCCTTCAGTTAAGGAAAAGCAAGGTGGAAAAGCAAGCAAGAAGAAATGGGTGGCCAACATGGTGCCATCCAGATGTTGCTTCACCACAGTTCTACAGCAAAAACTGTATTGTTTAGGCCTTTGCAATTTGATTTATTTTTTATCAGCCAGCTTTGCTGATATGCTCTTGATGCTTTTAATGATGTTCTTGTTGTAGTATTTGTTCTCAAGCTGTACACTGCTTTGTTATCTCTTCTATGAAATTGTGATTTAGAAATATCTGAACAAAAAAAATAATCCCTGATTTTTGGCTATGTTGGTTCATGGGGTATTTATGAATCAGGACTTAAGAGTTCATAGTCCTTGCCAAAGCAGAACATCCTCCAGCAACCTCAACTCCATGTGACTTACAAGAGGGAGGACACCAGAACTAGCTTTACAGGGGCTGAATTGTTGAAAACATAGCAGTGAGTTGACCAAGAAGTAAGCTTGTTCACCAGCTCTCACATTCCTCTTCTCCTGGCAAATCATCCAATCAGAAATATTTTGGTGCCGAAAGGGAACCTCCTGCGTTCTTGCTCCTTCTTAATGGGTGCATGCAAACCCTTCCCTTCCCGCAGCACATTTTATGTTCAGGGAGATTAATTTGCTTAATGTAGTCATCCTTCCAAAAGAGAATCACTTAATTTTATGGGATTCTGAATACCAGTGTCAAAATCAATGGCCCATTCTCTTCCAAGAGACTTGCATTTGCTTTAAAAGCTTTTGTAAAACTGGAAAATAAGGTTCCCACATTACACCAATGGCTTCACCGGGCAGATACTCACTGAAGCTGATGTGGCGGCTGGCACAGGCGAGCAGAAGGACTCAGGAGTCACGTATACACACACACACACACACACACACACACACTGCAGGCCCTCAGCTCCTCAGTGTGTTTTTCTACACTGTTGTCATGGGGTTGAATGCATTTTAAAAGGTGGCAGCTATATTGATTACTTAATGGGGAGAAAAAAGAAGTTGGGACTGAGAATTGCTGAAGTAGCCCTGCTTAATGCTCTCCTGTGCAACAAGGCCATTATCTAGAATGGTGGAAACCATCCTGCAGCTCTTATTAATGTTTAATAAGTACGGCACAACACAAAGGTACATGACAAAATAGCCCAAGGCCTCTGCTCAGATAGGATAGAAGATTGTTGTGAGCCTCGAAAGGAATAACTGATTTCCCTCAGCTCTGGCTCTTTATGAGAACAGCAACGATAAGCATTATTTCCCCTCTGCTCCTCAGTGTCTCACTATCACATCGGCACTTCAATAAACAGGGATTCATCGTAGGCATCCCGAACGCTACTGAAAGGCACTGGCTGCTAAATTTGTATCATGGCACGAGCCTGTTCCTCAATTAAACATTGTGGTGAATTGTAGCCTTCCTTCATTTATCTACAGTGCTGTGGGGCATATTCAGCAGGACTGAAAAGTCAGCAAAAGGTGTTAATCCTGCCTGATAGGCCCATAACCTTTGGTGCTGTGTGTGTTATATCACACTATTGAGATGCCTCTCACCACTTGTCAGGATATTGTTCATTGATTTAATATAGAAAATCTGTAAATGAAATGTTAACTGTACGAACTGAGGGGGATAGCTGACATCCATTTGCAAAATGTATACACACACACACACCATATGTAATGGGTAGCAATGAAAATGCTCTGTTACCATGAATCAAATAAGGGGGCAAAGTAAACTTGATATAAAATTAGAGTAAGCCAGGAGTGGAGAAGCTTTTGTAGCTCAAGGGCCATATTGACAGACTGTTCAGCGGCTACGTGCATGGGATGGATGTGATAACCCCAGGCCTGAAACTGTCACATGCACTAGTAGTGGCTCACTAGGTGGGGCAGAGCCACTACACTAGTTTCCAGCTGATGGGGCAATGCTGCCTACCAGGAGGGAGGAGAGATGAGACAGGGAGATCAGTGTGCTGCAAACGCATTGGCAGAACCAATTTGGCCTTCCTGCTGGTGTGTTTGCACCATGATGACCTCCCCCTTGCCCCATTTTGGGGGGTGGAGGAGGTGTTGAAAATGAATAGCAATACAATCCTAAGCAAATTTACTCTGAAGTCATTTCCACTGTACTCAATCAGATTTTTTTTCCACTGGTGAGATTGCAGCTCTAGATAAGGAATTATTCTTGAGCCTTGAGGATTAATGTGGGCTATAAAATCAAATAAACAATCAAAAGAGGGTTGCAGCTAGCAAGACTGATCTTCATGTGATTGCGAACTAGTTGTCCAAATTGTAATTTTATTCCATCAGTAAATTGTCTATTACTCTTTATTTTTAGTTTCAAAAGAATGTAAAAGAAATGGGACCTAACACAGGTAGTAAATTTGTGATTTATTACCAGGATTGTAATAAGATGAGGCACCTTCCAGAGTGAAAATTCTCCAAGGAAGCTACTTTGTAAAGTGTACAGTTAGTGTCAATTGCATGAACATCATTCTTAGAATCACCACTGCTGAACTTGAATGCACACTTGTCACTTTGCATAACGGTCAGCAATGCAAACATAACCATAATGAGACTCTTTCAGAACCAACCATCAAACCCTTGCAGAACCAAAAGGGCAATATGTAAATATAGCCAAACTACCTTTAGTACCAGGACGCGCGCGGGTGGTGCTGTGGGTTAAACCACAGAGATCAGAAGGCTGGTGGTTCGAATCCCCGCGACGGGGTGAGCTCCCGTTGCTCGGTCCCTGCTCCTGCCAACCTAGCAGTTCGAAAGCACACCAAAGTGCAAGTAGATAATAGGTACCGCTCCGGCGGGAAGGTAAACGGTGTTTCTGTGTGCTGCTCTGGTTCGCCAGAAGTGGCTTAGTCATACTGGCCACATGACCCAGAAGCTGTCTGCGGACAAACGCTGGCTCCCTCAGTCCTATAGAGTGAGATGAGCGCACAACCCCCGAGTCGGCCACGACTGGACCTAATGGTCAGGGGTCCCTTTACCTTTACCTTTAGTACATATGTTTTGTTGTTATAAAAGAAATGGAGTTAATAGAGTAGCATTCAGTAATACTGAGAGTAGACTCACTGAAACCAGTAGGGCTTAAATTAAGCATAACACTAAATCTGGATCCAACTCATTGTTCCTATCTTATCCTTTGTTGATTTGATCGCAATTAAAAAACACTTTGTAGTACATTAGGAGTGTTTGGCAAACCTGCGTAGAAGATAACAAAAAGTGTGTGTCTTAAGGCAGACATTTAAAGCACATCCAATGCACATTTGAAACACGTGACTTCCCCCCAAAGAATCCTGGGAACTGTAATTTTTCCCTCCCATAGCAATGGTTCCCAGCACCTCTAACCAACTACAGTTCCCACAATTGTTTGGGACGGGGAGTCATGTAGGTTGGATGTGCTTTAAATGTATGGTGTGGATTTGACCTTAGTTACTTTAAAAGTCAACTGTAGCTACCTGCTCAGGGTGAGATTGATGAGTAGAGCCATCCTTTGGGACTGGGCTCAGGATAAAGGTAACAACTGATAACTTCCAACTCTGCAAAGTTCTGATTGCCTCATCTATAATGTATTTGATTATCATCGCTGACCATATGTCAAATATGAATGCATAACATGTACCAACTGGAACACTCAGCAAAGTTATGAAAACTTTGTATCAGCTTACTCTAAAAATAAATAATTATGCTAGTGTGTCTATCTATATTTATTTATTTTTCTTTTCATAGCGAGCAAGTAGCTTTGGGAACTTTGACCAACGCAGACATCAGTCAGTTTCAAAGCCAGATGATTCATCTGAGGTTTGTATATTACTCAATCTAGTTATTTTACATAACGGCTCCTTAACTTCTGTACATGCAACAGAAAGCACATTGTGCAAAATACAGTGGATTTTGCACCAGCTGAGTGAGCAACTGACTGCTGAATTGAGTCAAATTTGTGCAGACTTAATGATTTGATGATACAGCACACAGAACCTTGGTTTTGGGAGGGGAAAACACTCAAACAGCAGGTTGCTGTTGTTGAGTAGTGGTACATCTCATAGTCATCTATTGTCTATTGCCTGTTACATTGCTCGTGTTTAGTTATACACCCACCTTCCATAATTTTGGAAACTTGCAGTGGCACGTCCAAACACAACTGGACAAGGGCCAACAAATCTTCCCTTGCCTTGTTGCCAGCCAGAGTACTATCATCATTACCCTATTCCCCCATTCAAGTACAGGGGGAAGGGCCTTCTTACATTATGTTGAATTCAAAGCTCAGCCTGGCTGTGGGGTGTCCATGAGAAAGAGCAGCCCTGACCTCTTCCACAGTGAAGCTCACCCTCATTACATTTAGTCTCAGACATTCAAAAAGTGCTGAGAAGTCTCCTGGCTCTCCAAGTATCTCTCAGGTTCAATGCAGTATCAGGGAGAGTCTTTAAATTTCTCCCATGATTCTGAAGTCAGCCTGGTACTTTTCCAGGCACTGAAGAATGGCAGGGGCTGTTCTTGATTTTGTGCTCTTTCCAGAGCAAAAGATGTAGATTCTTGCTAGTGGAACTCTAACACAATTTGCCTGTAATGAACAAACTGTAATTTGAGGGCAGAAAACAATGACTTGCTACATGTATCATCAGAAAGCTGCACCAAGAGACTCCTATAAAGTTTTAAATAAACTTTTTTTTCTTTTTAAAAAACCCAGATATGTGAAGCAGATGCTGTAAGTGATGGTGGAGAACTGGGACATAGCAAATCACCAAATAGTGGGGGAAGCCTTGGAAAGAAGATGCGGGCCATTTCCATGACTATGAAGAAAAAGATGGGTAAAAAGTACATCAAGGCACTTTCAGAGGAGATGGTAAACATATCACTAAAATCTTTTGATCTTCTTTATCTGCTTGTGGTTTAACTTCCGGTTTTTAAGCTCTGCTGTCAAAGTTGCTTCATATTTAGCTGTGCATGTCACTGTGTTCAGGCAACATCATAAACACTGCAGTGATATTGCAAAACTAATATGTAAAGTAATTTTCTCCAAACTTATTGAACTATGCTTAATCACGCCAATCCACTTCTTTGAGTGAACATGCAGAAATTAATATGTGCAACTGATTGTGCATCTTATTACTGCAAATGAAGGCTTTGGGAACGAAGTGGGGAGAAATGTTCAGATTCTGTTAGTGGCAGTAGATTCAACACAGGAATCCACCTTAAATCTTAGGTGTTGCAATTCAAATACTTTCCCTTATTCACTCCCATTTGGGAGTTGGAATGTTCAGATGGGGATGGGGAAATTACACTTCACACTGATTTGAATAAGTAAATAAATCAAGCAATTATTTTGTTGCAGACTTCCAATACATTAACTGAATTTTTAATAGAATTTCTGGGCTCCCATTGTACACAGTGGTATTTATCCCTGAGTAGACATGCATAGGTTTACACTTTGATGACTAAGCTAGAAGTTACCCTGAGTTGCTTTTTTCTCTGTTTGGCCCCTTGCTGATATTGTGTGCTATAAAGTTTTTCTAAGTCTCTTTCACCAAAACAAAATGCAAAGTTGTTGTTGTCATTGTATTGAGAGAATGCCTCTCTTTGACTACTGTTTAAAATCAATGGAAGCCAAAAGTACAGCTGGCTGAAGTTACTTAGGGCAGAACTACACATTATTCAGAACCATGTGTAATAAAAAACCAATGGCTACTTTTCTGATGGAGGGTGGAAGCAAGAGTAGATGCTTAACTCTTTGCCAGCTGCTTTTCCCTCCTTCCCCAATCAGAACCTCAACTTCTTTTTCTGCCCAAAGCTTGCACTGTGAGAGTAAAGATGGATCTCTGCAGTAAGAGAGATGCAGTTTGGGACAGTTGCTATTTGGAGTGGAGAAGTAGTGGGCATCCCCCTTTCCCTTTTCCACTCAAAGGGTTCCCTTTGCAGCCATCAGGCTTGTGTGATATGGTCCTGTGGTCCTGCTTCTGTCATTAATTCAGTGCACATGGTACATACAATGGGCGACTCTTGATTAATATTACTTCACTTACTCTGCTGTCTTTAACCAACAGATGTTCAGGCTGAGGCTAAGCCCTTGTTCAAATTAAATGCTGAGTTGATGATAGGCATAAATAATCAGGCAAATCTTTTGGCACGAAGGTGTGTTCAATGAAATAGTCTAATGATTTGTATTCTGATATTTATTTTAAAAATCCATTAATGGCCTGGGGAAGACTGTGAAAAGTGAAATGGCAGAATTTGATGAAAGTACTAAAGTAGGCTATGAAGAATTACAAAAGAATCTCAGAGCCCAAGCAGAATGGGAAATTATATGGCAGCTAAATATCCATTAACTGAAAAAATGCGCCTTGGAAATATAACCCAGTTCTACATAAATATGGTTAGATACTGAATACACTATTACTGCCAAGTAAGGAAGTTTGGGAGTCACTGTGCATACTTCCTGGAAATGTCAACTCAGGCCACTGAAGTCTTGAAAAAGCAAAAAATGTTAGTGATTAATCTTCAAGGTGACATAAAATAATATGCTAATTCTCTATATAAGTGAATGGTACAGTCTTTTGCAAAAAAAAAAAGTGATAGCATGTGAATGTTTTCAAAGAAGAACAATTAAAATTGTCAGTGGTATCTTAAGTTTTTAATGTAAAGAGAGTCTAAATGAATAGGATTTTTCAGTTTTAAGGGCGGGAAATCCAATAACCACAGCACGCACAACTGTGCATAAGGCAACAAAATGTGGTGGGTGAGCAATACCACACAGGAGTGCGCATAGGAGGTGCCATTTCTGAATGATCTTCCATGTGAAAGCGTCCAAAAAGAAAGACATCAAGGAGAAAAATTCTAGCTAAGCACAGTTCCTACAGTCTTGTTTTCCCTTGCAGGGAAGGTTAAGTTGGGAGGGAAACCCAGAGGGGAGCATTCCACAGTGTAATCTCCCACCAGCAGGATGAATGGGTACCACTTTGGCATTGTATAACCCTCATTCTGTTATGAGGTTAGACTCAGTCTAAGTTGTAGAGACAATCATCTGCAGCTTGGTAAAAAGAGACCAGGGTTTGACCTATATTGGATACAATGGATTCTTATGGTGTAGCTTTAAAATAAACTACTTTTTTCCATTTTGTATATAGTTAATGGGTGGAATTTAAGAGTGCAAACGTGGTAAAAGAACTGGACAATAGACTAGATGTAAAAGAATATTACCAGAAGGCACACAGTTCTTTTTGATGGTGGCAGTGTGCACATTTGCCAATGAATCAACAAGCAACATGAATAGACTAGTAACTAGTGGGGCACTTCAGGTAGGGGAAAATGCTACCAGCCAACAACAGAAACCCTCTTGTGGGGGCAGTGGGTGATATTTTGCCACTGTGAGAATAGTGGACAGAATACTGGGGTAGATGGGCCATTGGCCTGATCCAGTAGGCTCTTCTTATGTTCTTAATGAGTTACAGAAAAGCTTGTATGAGTTGGTCCTAATCTAATATTAATACATTTTGGAACATAAAAATTCCCATAATGGGCATCATGGGGAAATGTGCTTCAAATCTCATCCTGTGTGTAGCTGCTTAAATCAGGCAGCTTTTGAGTCTTATCTGAGGCATCTGATCATTTAATCCCTTACTAAGCCAAAAGAAATTGCACTTTGTCATCAAGGTAATGCATCCTGCCACCCAAACATGAACTTAGAACTGCAGAACTATAGAAGTGGAAGGCACCTCAAGAGTCATCTAGTCCAACCCCCTGCAATGCAGGAATCTCTACACGGGGTTACCCATCCAATCTGAAACTATGCTGGACCCTGCTTAGCTTCATGTAGTGGATTAAATAGTGTCATCGCTTTTGTTTTACTCACCAAACCTAATAACGTGAATGTGCTGTAATCTCCCAAGGTACATGCTACCTCTCCGTCATGCTGACTTCATATGATGCAACAATAGGGAGAAGTTGCTTCCCAAGTTCCTCTTTTCTTGTGAAGTTATTGTTGCTTAATTATTCAACTTAGACAGTGACACATAGCAAGTGGCCTCACTGTTACAATACGTTCCCATTTTAAAAATAAAGCAGTCATTAGTTTAAGCACTCAGGATTAAAAAAACACCCCAAAACAAATCATAAGCAAAGGTAACCTGTTAGGCCATAAGAAGAAGAAAAAAACCTTCAAAATCCACAATTTGGAAATACGTTTTCTTGGGGCCAACTAAAAATGTCACAAAAGTGTGGTAAGTTTTCAAGATCTTCTAAACTCTTCCTTGGGCAAGATGTTACAAAGAGGAAGGAGTGAAGGGGACAAGGAAGAATTTAAAGTACAAAAATTCAGCTAGATGTTATAGCCGTGAGGTCAGTTTGTGGACTCAGTTCCAAAATGGAGATTGCAAGCAGAATTAGTCCCACCCAGGTGCTGCAGATAATAGCTTCCGCACCAGGATTCTGGGATAAAGAAATAATGGCTTCTCCCAATTTCAGAGAGATTTCAGACTGGCACCAACTATAGCAAATTTTAGATGAACCCAAGTTTCTATTAGAATAAATGATCCCCCCCCCTTTTGCCTATTTGTTTGGTTGCTACCTACAATGATGTTCTTGCAGGGTGCAAAACCACTAGGATTTTTTTAAAAAATGATGTTGCTCTGTTATGTGAAAGCTAGTAATTATAGCCTTGACATACATGTTTGTCCCCTGAATTCTGAAAAACAAAGTGATTTTCAATCTGACAGCAGTTGCCCAGAGAATGGCAGAGAGGAGTGAGCACTTTTTCCAGGTGACAGGAATTGTATGTCTTCTGCCAAAATTGCCTTCATTTCAGACAGCCTTGCGTTCTTTTGAGTTACTATATATGTTTAGCAAGCTCTTTCTCTTACTCCCACCACCTACACATGGCTTTACTAAAACCATAGCATGTGACATCTCAGCTAAAACATCTGTTCCTGCTGCCTATATCCTTCGGGGACAGGTTCAAGGTTCATGCATTGATATACAAAAGCCTAAACAACATGGGCGCAGGATACCTTATATCCCATTATCACAGCTCGATCACTGGGATCATCTGCTTGAGCACTGCTAGTTGTCCCCATGTTACAGAGGCCCAGCTGACCTCAACTAGAAGTTGGCTAGTTAGTGTTGCTGGTCCCATGTTGTAGAATGCTCCTCTAGCAGAGATTCAGCAAATATTCTCCCTTTTGACTTTCGGCTATCTCTTGGTGACTTTTTATGCCAACATGCCTATGCAGATATTTAAAATGCCCCTTGATTAGCCAGATATTTTAATGCCCTCTTTGTATCGCTTTTAAATGTTTTTTATACTGTCATGCACCACCCTGATGCTTTGTGAGAGGGGGGTATATGCATACATTTTTATATAAATAAATAAACAAAATAACACCCTCTTCCAAGTTCTGTTTGGTCCCCATTCTGTTTTGCTGCAGGTACAATGCCAAGTCTCCAATTAAATTTTATTTTAAGCGCATCCACATTTCCCAGAAGAATTTGGAATTTGTGACGACTTGGTGGAACTGGTTCTGCTTAAGTACAGCAGATGATGAACTAAATAGTGTGATATCTTTTGGCCTTGATATACTGCTTCCTTAAGGGGACATATTTTATTTCACAAATGCATACGTGGGTAATGTTTCTTTATACTTACCATCTTCTCTCTCTCTTCTGCTCTAAAGAATGATGAAGGAAGAGATGACTCCTGTTCTAATCGAAACAGTGACCCTGGTGGAGGGTCAGGCACTGAGAAGGCCTCTCTAAAGGCCAGTGACTCCATGGACAGCCTCTATAGTCTTAACAGTGGCCAGAGCTCATCAAGTAAGTGCCAGTTAATGATATGCTGCAGAATATATATATTTGAATGGCTAGAAACAATCTTAAGAACATAAGAGCATCAGTAGGCTTAAGTTCACCTAAGTCTGAATTGAATTGCAGCCAATGGCAATTCTTAACTTGCTTTCACGTGCATTGAATGGGGCTTTCCTGCCTTCCCTTTCTATTGGCAGCCCATCAAAATCTTCTCCTTGCGTTGGGTTGCCCCTGGGAATGGTATAGGATTTGGTACAGGTGGGTACAGATAAGAGCAAGAGCTGGTGAAAATCACCCCTGCTTCCATTAGCAAATAGAATTCAACGTGGCTGAGTTGCATCTAGTGATGGCTTTGCTTTAGTGGAAGCCACTTCTGCTCATAGCATCAGAGCGCTTGATTTTGATCCTGACCCATACTTCTTCATAAGGCAAAGGTACCATCAAATACCACCCACTGTCTTTTCCCAAACTATTTACATTTTATAATTTAACATACTAGGGTATTTACATTGTAATACCAGATTTTAGTGTTTGTATAGTGCTGCAGAGTATGCAAATAACTTCACATATGTTATTTCAGTTTTTACAACAGTCCTATAAAATAGGTCACTCTTCTTATTCCCATATTACAGATGTGGGGTTCACTAGTATTAGTTTGGCCAAAATGACTGAATGAGTTCAAATCCTAGGTAGATTTATGCTGGGGATTTAATGACTCACAACCAACTCTTTGAGAGATGTACCCAGTGTTAGTTATACTGTTCTAATTAATGTACACAACTAAGGTTCATTAATTTTGGTGGGCCTACTTTTGATTAGAATTTAGTTAGATAAGTTGTCATTAAACTACATCAGTATCCATGTTATTTAATACCAATGCATTTAGGTGAAATATTGTGAACAAAATATATTATTTATCATTGCTGACTTTGTCTTTGGTGAAAATTCATTTAGAGAGTGCCTAATTTTCCAGAAGAAATATTTGTATTACCTTTGTTTATTTATGCATTTTTTAAAAATAGAACACATTCATAAAGTCCTCTGTTCTTGCTATTGCAAGGGATATCTAACATGCTGCATAGAACATGAAACTAAAAAGAGGCCAAATTTTCCTTTTTAAACAAAAAGTAGGAAAAGTTAACGGCACAAGCTTATAGAAGTTTACTCAAATGTAATTCCCATTCAGTGGGGATTAGTCCTTAGAAAGTGAGTTTAAGATCACACCCTGAATCTTGTGTATGTCAGTAAAAAGTGTGTTCTAGGATGTGTTGCATCTGATCAACAGTACACATAAAAATTATGGATGAGACTTGTATCTGGTGAGCAACGGTGTTTGAATGGCAAGCACTGATAGGGATTTTGTTATCATATGCTTTCACAGAGAACTTATGTAAGGTTTTATATTGTCATTCTGTCTAATAGAATTGATTAATGACACTAAATGATCCTATTTTAGTCTTTTGAGCTGAAACACCACTCCACTGTAAAACAGAATTGCTCACTGACATATCAATTCAATTTTCATTTCCTAGGTCTAGGTTAACCATATTTCCAAAGCGACATGGCTTTTGTCCATTTAAGTGCTTAAATGCAGGGTAATATTCTGCAGGTGCTACTTCTAACTCTTAACTGCAATGGTGAGTTTATACAGATAACCTATCTTACCCAAACCTGATCTCTCCTACGCAGGATAGTCAGGCTGTCTTAGGTTTTTTTTATTATTTAAGGATTTGTATGCCCATCAAACACAAGTCCATGGAGCAGCTAACAACATTGTGTAAAAGAACTGCAAAGCCAATATAACATGGATAGCTACTCAAATTACACATGTAAACAACACATCCCATACACAACCTGCAGCCGCAAAACTAAAAAGTTGCCCATCAGATTTTAGATACTTATGTTAATGCCAGCTCACATGAACAAAGTACACTGGAATAAGATGGTCTAGAGAAGGGTTTCCCCAAGGTGGGTCTCCAGCTGTTTTTGGACTACAATTCCCATCATCCCTGACCACCTAGCTAGGGATGATGGGAGTTGTAGTCCAAAAACAGCTGGAGACCCACCTTTGGGGAAACCTGGTCTATAGATAAAAACTGAGCCTACATGGTGGGCCTTTTGAGGGAGGAAGTTTAAAATGAAGATGCCACTGCAGAAAAGCCCATTACAAAGATGGACATTTAGATGCCTATAGACCGTATTTTTTGCTCTATAACATGCATCCAACCATAACACGCATGTAGTTTTTAGAGGAGGAAAATCCGTAGGCATGCCACCCGTAGGCATTCTCTCCATAACACGCACAGACATTTCCCCTTACTTTTTAGGAGGAAAAAAGTGAGTGTTGTGGTGCAAAACATACGGTATGTATTGTGGGACTTGTATGGACAAAGTTCTCTTCTAAGTGAAGATGGCCCAATCATTTTAGTTTCTTCATCTCTCCTGTAGGGGCATGCCACATGGTAAGTAGCATTTTTACCAGATATCAAATGCTAAGATGTGGTATAGTCAGATGGGACAAACTGTACCTGTGGAACTTTTGTTTCCCTCAGAGATCTTCAAAGTACAGAAGCTATGTCCCTCTAGGAATGTGGTCACTATGTTTAGGCCTCAACCCTAGTTTTCCTATGTCAACGTGATACGGAAAATGGAATGTTGCATTCCAAGCCATCTATGCAAGAACAAACTCTCTAACAATTTTTGCATGTGAGAGAGACCGAAAATGGAATATAAGTTGCCTCTTGGGTTTCTTTTACAGTGGTACCTCGGGTTAAGAACTTAATTCATTCTGGAGGGTCTGTTCTTAACCTGAAACTGTTCTTAACCTGAGGTACCACTTTAGCTAATGGGGCCTCCTGCTGCCGCACCACCGTGCGATTTCTGTTCTCATCCTAGGGCAAAGTTCTTAACCCAAGGTACTATTTCTGAGTTAGTGGAGTCTGTAACCTGAAGCATTTGTAACTCGAGGTACCACTGTACAATCATGTTGTAAAGAAGAATGAAGGCATAGCTACCAGAACATAGGAAACCACTTTATACTGAGTCAGACCACTGCCCCATCTAGTTCAGTATTGTCTGACTGTCAGAGGCTCTCTAGAATTTCAGGCAGAGTTCTCTCCTAGCCCTAACTGGAGATGCCAGGGATTGAACCTGGGACCTTCTGGTGCAAAGCAGATGCTCCACCACAGAGCTACAGTTCTATTTCTCCCCTGTTTCCAATGGCCACCCTCAACTCCAGCCAGCTGTCAGAAAGAACCAGAAGTCCTGCTTGCTTCAGCAGGAGGAGCATAGGGTGAGCGAAGTCATAGACTAAAGATGGCGTTCAATTAAGTTTTACTCAGAGCAGTTCTATTGACAGTAATGGACATAAATTAGTCATGTTCATTAATTTAAATGCCTCTACTCTGAGTAAAATGTAGGTGAATACCGCCCAATGACTGCATAACATTTTGAAGGTGCAGTGCCGCTTTTAAATTATCATGACCTAGCAACCGTATTTATTCCTCCCCCATGTATAGCTAAGCAAGCACATCAAGTGAACCAATTTTTGTGTTCCATTATCTGTTATGTCGTGGGAGAATTCAAGATGCTGCTGTTATCTAAAGCATATTTGAATGGAATATTTCTGTGCTTGCTCAAATGTGCTGATGCAGGTTTCTTCAGATGACAAAATGACAGAAATCTTGAGAGTAAAACTTTTTCCTCTCCAGTGTGCAATTCTTTTGAAGTTCTGTACTTTGCGTATTCTAAGACATCACCTGTAAAATGTTATCCCTGTTTGTCTGAATAAAGAGGTAACAGTCAGCAGATGATTATTCTACATCGTATATGAAAAACACACAGTATTAGTTTGGGGCCATTTTATTTCAGTGAGCCCTGAGTAAAATCTAGGCTCTAGTCTTCACATCACTCTATTGATGGAGATTTTGACCATTTTAATTGCATTTCCATTGTTTCAGGATTTTGAGAACCAAATAGTCTATCTCTTAGCACTTTCTCACAATTAAGTATTACCCTGCAGCATATGTTAATTAATTGCATGGGGCATGATCCACATTTGCACAGACACAGACACAGAATAGAGCAAGAGGCTCTTAACCTCAGGGTTGTGGGATTTGAGCCCCACACTAGGCAAAAGATTCCTGCATTGCAGGTGATTGGAGTAGATGACCTCCAGGGTCCCTTCCAACTCTACAATTCTATAATTCTATTCAATCCATTGCTAAATCCTGTGGATTGAATTCAGTAGAACTGTACATAGCTTATTTTTGGCTGGAATGCTTCTACTCCATAGAAAGTTGACAGTAGTGATTAATAGGAATGATGAGTGGATTTAAATGAAGCCAAGCCTAAGCAGAGTGCCTTGGAGGAATTGGGTCTTCTCAGAAGTCAAGCAGGATCTCTGTGAGATGGCACAGGTGAAGTGGGAACCCCTAAATCACCTCATAGTACCTTGGTAATCCAAACATTTAAAAAAATCCTAGAGACATGCATCTACTAAAAGCAGAAATAGTGTCTCACAGCTTGCCATATGAGGAATATAACCAAAATTGGGTGATGAGGGAAGAGAGAGGAAGTACCAGGGTGGGGAGAGGATGGAGAGCCTTGTTGTGATTGACTGGTCAAGCTAGTAATCAAAAGGAATTATTTTTACTTTGAACGTGTATCTATTTTAGTTCTTCCCACCCACAAAGTCAAACTTATTTGTCTGCAGTGTAGCAGGTTTCTTACTCATGAACATCTCTCTTATGTGTTCTTTTGCTGCCCACCTGCGAATTGCAACAGTTGTCCTTGTGGGTAAGCCACTGCAGCTATCCTTCTGAAATTTGGCATAATTTATACCCTCTAAAAGGGTAAAGATTGGTTAGACAAACTTTAAAGGTGCCCAGCACAAAAGTCAATGCCCTATTTCACTGTAATTTAGCAAGCTTTGATTCTACCAAAGTTAAATTGTATTTTAATTATCTATTTTTCTATGCTTTAGTGGTTCTTGTTTTATCTGTAAGTCACCTTGAGTCCTGTCAGGGGAAAGGGTAGGGTATAAACGAAATAATAATAACAACAAACTCATTCTTAGCAGTAAGTATGCCCTCAAATTTCATCCACTTCTGTAAAAAAGGGGGGAAGTTATAGTCTTTTTTTTATATAAAAAAAGAATACTCCCTCAAATAGTGATTTGAGGTGGGATGAAGTGGTCTCAGGTGAAGCCCAATCCAATTCAGACAGCCTACCAAGTGTCTCAGATGGAGGTGGGCTGTTTTCCAAAGTGCTGAATTGGGAGTCCAAACCATATCTTGTGGCTCATGGACACCTCTTGTGATTTTTCTGTATTATATTTTTCAAATGATTTCATCTTCAAACTCTTTTGGCTTCATGTTGTATCCATCTTAAATGCTGTGAAAGGTTGACCATTCTTATTGCTTCCAGGTGGGGTTACTAGTTGCTCAGATGGGACAAGCAACAGGGACAGCCTAAGGCTTGATGATGAAGTTCCTTACACTGGACCTTTCTGTGGCAGAGCTAAAGTACACACAGACTTCACACCTAGTCCTTATGACACAGACTCTCTCAAAATCAAGGTGAGTTAACTATTTGTTACATTTGCTTTACTCCTGAAGTCACTTTCCACCTGCGAGGCTCTCCCAGTTCAGGTAGCATTATATAGAAATCATTTTTTTATAGAAGAACAAGTATTGCCAACGAAGAACTAGCTTGGTTTCCACAAAGCTAGCTTGTGTCTAACTAATCTTTCCACTGAGTGTCTCAATGAGCATGTAGATTGGGCTGATTTGGTGTGCTTTCAAAAAACTTTTGACATAATCCCTCACTAAAAATTCCTGAGTAACCTTTGCAGTCATGAGATAAAGGGACATGTTCTCTTAAGCTGCTTAAGGAGTGGAAAGTGGATAATAGGAATAAGTGGACAGTTCTCACAATAGAGGGATGTGAGAAGTGGAGTCCCCCAGGTAACTAGACTGGAGTTTGTGGTTTTTAATTTGGTCATAAAATATCTGGAATTAAGAGTGAGAGGTAAAGTGACCAACTTTGCTGGTAATATCAAATTGATCAGGATGGTAAGAAACAAGATGAAGAATGGAAATTGGGGGATCACAAAAAGTTTCTCAAAACTGGGTGAATAGGCATTTAAATAGCAAATGTGATTTAATATAAGAAAGTGTAAAGTGATGCACATTTGAGAAAAACCAACCAACCTAACTTCACATATATGCTAACAGGGTCTGAACTGGCAGAGACTGAGCAAGGTTACAATCTTGGAATTGTGGCGGGTAGCTCAACGTAAATGTCAATTCAGCGTGCAGCAATTGTGAAAAAGGTGGACTCCATGTTAGAGATCATTAGCAAAGGGATTGAAAATAAGCCTGCTGACATCATAACATACAACATACAAATCTATGGTGAGATCACACTTGGAATTCTGACTACAGTTCTGGTCACCTCGCCCTCCAAAAGCATATTGTAACTGAAATGACTGAGGGGCTGGAGCAACTTCCCTTTGAGGAAAGGTTACAACCTTTGGGACTTTTGTTTTAGAAAAGGGGGAGAATATATATATAGAGAGAGGTATATACATGGTGTAGAGAAAGTCAAAGGGGGACATTTGCTGGATCCTGGAGAAGATGGATCTTTGGTCTGCTCTGGGGGGTCTCTTGATACGTTCTTATCAAACTTGTACCTTAAGCTTTTGTGTCACAAAGAAAAAGATGTAACTAATAATAATCTTCAGGTGTCTTTTCTAGCCTTACTTCACATTGTGCTGCCTAACACTCTGCTGTAGTTCTAGTTGAGTTATGGCTGTGGAGTGTGACGTGTGGGGAGGGAGCTGTTTCACTTTTCCATATTAACAGAGACAAGATGATGTCTCATGACCATGTTCCCAGCAATGTGGGGTATGATTAAGTGCTGATTTGCTACTAGGGGAACTCTGAAGTAATAATTTGAGTCCCAGGAGAAAGGAGGGACTGCCCAGGTTGTCAGTATTTACTGGAGCATAACGGTGATATGCTCTCTTTAAAGTGGCTGAAAGCAAAAACCAATGGCTGCTCCCAAAGTACAATAACATAATGCAGATGTTTCAGAAACAGAACACAGTACTTGCCTAACAGATGTGTTTGGATCAAGTCATATTTGGTAAGCCGCATATTGTGTTAACTTAAGTGCTATGGCTCAAATTCTGCCTTGCCAGAGCAGAAAATCATTTCCACTTGCACATGGAGGTGGAAATCCCTTTTACATCTGCAGCAGCCCCACATACCACAATCCATTCTGTTTCTGAGGGTCCCCCAACCCTGAAGAGCAGATGGGGGGGGCACAGGTAGCTGCAGCAGGAAAGAACTTTAAATTGTGATATAGAAGCTGGTGAAATGTGTTGCACAACTGCTTGTCCTTTTTCTTGGCACCTGTCTGAAAAGATTAGCTCCTGTGTTTCTGGATATTTTGATGCTGCTCTTTCATTTTTGCTATTTACCTGACATATGTGTTTGGATTAACATGTTTTGAGTTTGAACAAAACAGTTTTCATTTTTTTTAAAAAATCCTGCTTTAATTTTTATAATAATGCTTCATATACGAGGGAAGTGCAAAAGGGTAAATGACACATTAGTAGTGCACAGACCAAATGCTAGAGTTACATTTTAAGTAAGTATGTGAGGGGGAGTGCAGGGTCAATGATACTGTCATTGGAAATAATGAATTGTATTTAGCTAAGTCTTCATCACTGAAATTAATGAATCTGTTAATTAATTAATGAACCATTAACTTCAATAGACATATTATGACAGGACACCATGACAAGTGTCAGAGCGCAACAGAAACAGAGTTTACCTCCCCACCACAGTGGTACCTATTTATCTACTTGCACTGGTGTGCTTTCAAACTGCTAGGTTGGCAGTACTAATAATTATATTATCAACCTAATAATTATAGCAATTGGTCTGTTACTTCTCTTCAGACCTTTCTGAAATGGTGTGGGAAACAGCTGTGTTACTGCAGTTTCCACTTGTCAATATGGAATTAAATCTATGGATTGGGCCATTTTTTTCTATCCTATTTTCTATTTTGGTTAGGTGTTCTTCTTTATAAGTCCTCATCCATACTGTAATGTGGATATTAAGCTTCCTGTACCTTCATTAATTCTCTGTTGTCCATATGATATTTTCCTCTGTCACTGCCTTCCCCCACGTTTCCCTCTCTCAATCTGGATTTTCTCATACTAGGGATACTCTGAAATGCAGAGGGTATGAGAAAATCTGGAGGGAGGGAGGGAAAGGTAGTAATTTAGAGTAGAACATCATATGGACAACAGGACGCTTGCTCTCCACATTAAATGATAGTATGGATAAATAAGCTCTCCTTTCTTTTTAGATAATGTGCATCACTATTTGAGCCAACTCTGATTTCCCATTGGTCTGCTTTTGATCAACTGAGGCAGACTAGTCTTGTGTATCACAAATAATACGTACAGTACTAGTTTCAGAGTTACATTTTGTTTCTTTGTTTTTCTTCCAGAAAGGGGATATCATTGATATCATCTGTAAAACCCCAATGGGTATGTGGACGGGACTGCTAAACAACAAGGTGGGGAATTTCAAATTCATTTACGTAGATCTTATTACAGAAGAGGAATCTGTACCTAGAAAAATAAAGCCACACAAGAGGAGTAAAAGGGCCAAGCCTAATTCTCTTCAAGAACTCTTGGACCGACTCCATCTCCAGGTTGGTAAAACTCAAAAAAATTATTTGGTAAAGCTTCTTTTTGCATATCATGATCATTCTCAAGCTCAAAACTTGCAGCTTCAGGCCATACCTTAGGAGCCACAAGCAAGATTTGTTGTGTACTTTGGCTAAAATGGATAATTCCTTTGACCTCTAGAGTCAAATTGCTCCATTTATTAGGCAGCTATCAAATTATCACCCAGGTTGGTTGCATGCATGTGGCCAGATATAATTAGCCAATAATCAGATAAGTGCCAATCAGGTATCAAAGGGGAGACTAAATAAATCCTCTGCTCCCCCTCCCAAAGGGTTGCTTGATGCTGTCACTGATTATCTGACTAGAGTTATGCATGTACAACTGACTCCTTGTGCAGACTAGAGTCACAGGTGGCACATCTGCAGAATGGGAAAGTTTCTCAGATTTATATTGATGTTTGGTAACATCAATATACAGTAATATGTCTCTGACAATGTAGTTTGGGGGTTACTCTGTGAAATTAGATCCAAGCTCCCAGGTGACCCAGATCTGATGACATGCATAAAATCAATAGTATATAATCTTACCACTTGTATTTTCTCAGCATTCAAAGTGTTTCACATACATCTATTAAAATAGCTGCTTTGGTTGTCCTCAGAGGAAAAGGCAGGGTATATATTGTCTAAAATGAATGATCAGGTTATAAAATTGTTGGGGGTAATCTACGATTCTCCGGTTGTTACTGGACTAAATTACCACCATCTCCGACCATTGGCTATGCTGACTGAGGTTGATGGGATTTGAACAACAACTGGAGGACCATAGAGTATCCTCCCTCATTTTACAACAGTCCTATATGGAGGGAGTATCCTCCCTCATTTTACAACAGTCCTATATGGAGGGATGTATTATTTCTTTGACTGTAATACAGAGAAAATAACAATAACCTCCTGAACAAAGTGTTGTAAGGGTTGCTAAAATAATACGTGATACAAGCTTCCAGTGCTTAAGAAAGCTTCTGTATTTAAAAAAATCAAATTGATATTTATATAATTAAGATGATTATTCATCAGATCTGAGACAACAAGTAGACATCAGGAACCAAATCTGAGCCATAAGCAAGGATATAAACCTATCTTGAAGCAGCAATTCTTTCGATGAACCTGTCAATTGTATACTTAATATCCTTCACTCCACTTTCGTTATCACTAGAGAATGGTTTGTAGCTGATTTCAATGTAGTTCCTATATATAAAACTTCCACACATAATATTGGTCTCTTCAACTAGGCATGTCCAAAGCCTGTTTTGGGGTCTAATCCAGCCCCTGGGGCAGTTTATTTCCCAGGATAAAATATCCTAAAAGAAGCTCAACAACTTCAATCCTAAAAGCTCAACAACTTCAATCCTAAAAGAAGCTCAACAACCTTGGTTGGCCCTTTGGTTGGCCCCCATGGCCCTTCACTTCACCAAATCTGGCCCTCTTATTAAACCATAGGAAAATATTATAGCATTGATGTAATACAATATAATCAGCATTTTTATTAATGCTTCAGAATCACATTTTCTGTTGTTAATTAGGCCTCTTAACTTTGCACAGTAAGATACACAAATGCTTTTTTTTCACATGGACAGTCTTCAGAAATGTATGCCTATAAATATATGGCATGCCACAAAATAAAAGACATGCCTGTGCTACTGCACTTTATGTTGTGTGCAAAAACTGCAGTCCTGCTTGAAATGGCATACTTATAAATTATACTGGTGACATAATGATTTCCTCCTACAAACTAGATATAAATTTTTCTTTATATAATATTCAGCAATGATTTGTTTGAAAACTGCATTAAAGAGGAATGTAAATCAATTGTAAAGTAGGAGAAAAGGTCTTCAAAGGGTTAGGTTTGCCCCAGCCTGCTTGTTGAAACCTTTCACTGAAACTGTAGGTGTATAAATAAAGAAAAACATATAAAGTTCTGAGTGCATTTCTAAAAAAAACTTGGGAATAATCTTGCCAAAGTGAAGCAGTTGTAAGGAAAGGTGCATAAAATCTTCAGATGAATCCTGAGTAGAACTGAGGCTTAGGAGCTTCAGAAAGATTCTGGACTTATCCAAGCTGAAGCAGGATCTCTCTGGAGTGCTCCGAACCAAACTGGGGGCCACTGAAGCATATACGGAAAACACCAGAGTGGGCCCAAAGAGGGAGAGTTCTTTGTGACTGACAAGTTTAATCAGGGAACAAGTTTAGCTTCTGGAGGGATTACTATGCCTGCAAATGCCATTCAATTTTATCAAAAGGAATAAAATGCCCCATTACTGAATGTAGCAGGGGGAAACCAAGTGCCCTCCCAGAACAAGGCAGCCTGTTTTCTGAAATGCCAAGTCAGGGCCAAATCAGGGTTCACACCCCTGAAACACACACACACACACACACACACACACAAAATTGCTTTTCTCTTCAGCAATACAATCAAAAGAGGAAAAACTGTCAATGGAGAAAATAACAGAAGTATGTTGTTTTTTTCAGGACTACTCATCAACCCTCTTACTAAATGGCTATGAGACTCTGGAAGATTTGAAAGATCTAAAAGAGAGCCATTTAATTGAACTTAATATTGAAAACCCAGAAGACAGAACAAGATTACTGTCGGCTATTGAGAATCTGCAGGACTATGAAAGTATGTCTGAAGTCTCCATTTGGTATTATATATCGTCACTTTTATGTGTAAACTTCCATGTCCCCTACCCGGGGGGGGGCTGTGATGGTGATGGTGGGATCTACAGTAGTAGCCAACATGGTGATGGGGGGGCTACAGTAGTAGCCAACATGGTGATGGGGGGGTTACAGTAGTAGCCAACATGGTTGAATTTCAGCTCTTATCAACCCCAGCCAGTATGGCCAATGTTGTTATTGTTGTTGTTTATTCGTTGAGTCGTGTCCAACTCTTTGTGACCCCATGGACCAGAGCACGCCAGGCACTTCTGTCTTCCACTGTCTCCCGCAGTTTAGTCAAACTCATGCTGGTAGTTTCGAGAACACTGTCCAACCATCTCGTCCTCTGGCGTCCCCTTCTCCTGGCCAATAGGTAAAGGTAAAGGTACCCCTGGGACGCGGGTGGCGCTGTGGGTAAAACCTCAGTGCCTAGGGCTTGCCGATCGCATGGTCGGCGGTTCGAATCCCCGCGGCGGGGTGAGCTCCCGTTGCTCGGTCCCAGCTCCTGCCCACCTAGCAGTTCGAAAGCACCCTTAAGTGCAAGTAGATAAATAGGTACCACTTTCTAGCGGGAAGGTAAACGGCATTTCCGTGTGCTGCACTGGTGCAGGCTCGCCAGAGCAGCGATGTCACACTGGCCACGTGACCTGGAAGTCTCTCCGGACAGCGCTGGCCCCTGGCCTATAGAGTGAGATGGGCGCACAACCCTAGAGTCGGACACGACTGGCCCCTACGGGCAGGGGTACATTTACCTTTAACTTTTTTTGACCGGGGGCCAGCGCTGTCCGAGGACACTTCCAGGTCACGTGGCCAGCGTGACGAAGCTGCTCTGGCGAGCCTGCACCAGCACAGCACACGGAAATGCCATTTACCTTCCCGCTAGAAAGCGGTACCTATTTATCTACTTGCACTTAAGGGTGCTTTCGAACTGCTAGGTGGGCAGGAGCTGGGACCGAACGATGGAAGCTCACCCCGCCACGGGGATTTGAACCACCGACCATGCGATCGGCATGTCCTAGGCAGTGAGGTTTTACCCGCAGCGCCACCCGCATCCCCTCCTGGCCAATAGTCAGGGCTAATTGGAGTTTTTTCTGGCAACATCTGGAAGGTATCCCCTTGTCTACCCCTGGTCTAATGGGCTACCATAGGTGTGCCTTTAAAAGATACTTCCAGTCTGCCAACACCTAGCTTCATAGGATGACCCTGAGTTCTAGCTGTATAAGGAGAGAGTAGGAAAACTCCCAACTAATAGGGGTTGAACTGTCAGTAATTGATCAAGCTAGAAAGTGTGCAGTTGAACCACCTGAGCACCTTTTTGGTTAAACAGAGGTAGGAGCTCCATAGGGCCAGGACCATGTATGTCTTCATGATGTCAGACGGAGGAATCTCTGAAGTAACTCCCTCTACCCTTAGAGAGGGAGATCTAATGCTTCCAAAAGGCCCTTTGATGCTCTTGCAGAGGCCATAGGACTGCAGGGCCCACTATCTGACTCATAGTTATAAAGAAGCTCTTAGCAAGACATTCTGCACTTAGCTTAATGCATGTATAAGGAACACTTTAATAAAGAAACTTGAAGCGGGTCTCAATGGCAAATTGATCTTTCCTATAGAACAGTAGCGTTTCCTCCCAGTGTAGATTGGTAATGCGGAAGATAAGAAAAACCTGCAAAAGTATGCAATGGGATATATTAGGTCATCCAGTCAAGTAATTATAATGAAAGAACGGCAGCCAACATGATCCTGGGGTTAACTCTTAGCAGAGTAACTAATTCTGCATGACCTTGGCAATACCATTGTGTTTAAGTCAACCCAAGTGGAAAATTGGGTTGAAAAAGCTGGACATCGTTGTTGTAACTAAATATTGCATCTGAAATCAACTTTCCAAGGTCAATATTTTTTTCTTAAATAGGCATGACTCTGTCTACTATAAATGATTTCCTAATTAAAATTGATTATCTGTACTGCTTAGAAGTGAGATGCATAATTACCCAATTGTACTAGAGAATCTAGATTCTGACCACAGAAATTACACTAAAGTGACAAAAATATAAGCATCACCTACAAATAGAAATGATCTTTTGTTGAGACTGTATGGGAAAATTCCACTTAAAATAAAAAGCTTGTCTTCTTTTAACAAAGATCCATAGCACTACGGATCCTCTTTTGAAGGTTTAGATGGCTGACTATAGGCCAAATATGACATGAGTTTTTTCAGTTTCCCAAAATTTAGACAATTGGCCTTCCATTAGTTTGACTCTACAGGAAATAAATTACATCAACAATAACTTTATTTTTCCTAAAATAAATTCCAAAGAAGACTGACCCTGATCTTGTGAACAGGATTTGTACTGCTAAAAATCCATTGTGAATCCCTTCCATGTGAAGCCATGGCAAATTCAATCGAGCTCCCCACCCACAACTAATGACTTCACACCACCTGAGCAACTCTGCAGCTGTTCTTATAGCTAAAAGATGTCTACTTTATTGTTAAGAGTTTTATTACCAATAAAGGGGATTGAATTGTATGATGAAATGAACTTCCAGCCCTCAGACCACTTTCTCGAGAACTGAACTGACCCCAAGAATACAGCAACTAGAACATCATCCAGTGTCTTTATAACAATTGTGTTTTGGGTAATAAGAGCCCTTTACATTTTAAACCCATCACCTGCACAGTTTTCACAGTGAGGAATCAAAATGACTGTTGTGACTCACCACTGAAATAATTGCAGGGCACAACTCTTGGAATTCTAAGAGCGCAGGTGGCCCATGGACTACATGCCTGGATTTTCTGCACATATCACTAGCATATCACTGTGCTAGAATCCATCTCGCTTATGTGCTAGATTATGTGTCTAGGAGTCTTTATACTTGAGGAAAAAACTAAGCATGCAATCACTCATCTACAGAGTGTGGGTTGTATCCCAGCAGAACTAGCACATATCTCTATTTGGATCTGACGATCAGCTCTAAATGGACCTGCGGTTCAACTGAAGGACATATCTAGAGCTTCACCAGGAGATGTCAAACTCATGCATACAACAATTATTCTCCAAACAAAGATCCTTTCAACGGCAATTTTCTTTATGAAGCAAGCCATATTGTCACAACTTCCATTGCAGTGATCTAGACACCTGTACATTTGCAAAGGCAGGTTCCAAGGGCAAAACAAGGGCAAAAATGGAGATAATGAATATTTATAGCATAGCTCTTGTCAGTGTGTATGCATCAGCCTTATATTTCTTCAATATCCATAGCCTAATCCTACAGACTAAAGTAGTATCAGACTATACATGTCAAAATGATGCATATCATAGACTGTGCTAACCCTATCTTAGACAACTCTGACTGAAAGCCATTTATCTTTTATGAAACTGCTATGCTTTAGGAAAATTACATGACTTCTAGTAGCTGATAAGATAGCATGTTCCGCTGATTCTGCAACATTTAATAGTAGCCCTTTAAAAAAAATTCTATCCTGGGCCTTTAACTAATATTTAACAGATTAAAACCAGCATCTGCTTTAAGTGGTACAATGCTTCAAATCAAAACTTGTGCATTGAGTCACGAAGCAAGCTTGCTACTTTTGAAATTAGAAGATTGAAGATTGGCATATGCTTAAATTTTCTGGTCTTTGGAGTTATAGTCCTTTGGTATAGCAAGGTCTCAGCTTAGTTAGGGTCCCAGGAGTGGCCTGAAGGGACAGCTGATGCACTCCTGCTGGGACTGGGAGGAGTCTCCTCCACATTTGGCCAACAACCCCTTGATAGGACAGTTTGCATGGAGCAGAGGCAGCTCACTTACACCTCTTCCTAATGGGCTTTTCTGGCCCATAGGTGCTACAGTGCTGGCATTTCCTCCTTCCATATAGGGCAAAGGATTAATTTAGCTGCTGCATAGGTTGATCCAAAGCTGATCTTTTGGAGTAAGGTGTTTGGGTTCTAATGGTTCTACCATTGGTAAACTTAAGGACAGACTATTGCAATGCATTATCTGTTGAGCTACCCATGAGGCTCGTTCAGAAGCTGCAACCTGCTTTCAATTCTGCAACCCTGTTTTTCTCAGGCATAGGCTACGGACACCTATATAAACACCTGTGTTGAAGGAGTTGCACTGGCTGCCAGTATACTACTGAACTATCTTCAAGGTCTTACTGTTAGTATTGTTGTTGTTTAGTCGTTTAGTCATGTCCGACTCTTCGTGAACCATGGACCAGAGCACGCCAGGCACTCCTGTCTTCCACTGCCTCCCACAGTTTGGTCAAACTCATGCTGGTAGCTTCAAGAACACTGTCCAACCATCTCATCCTCTGTCGTCCCCTTCTCCTTGTGCCCTCAATATTTCCCAACATCAGGGTCTTTTCCAGGGAGTCTTCTCAGGAGGTGGCCAAAGTATTGGAGCCTCAGCTTCAGGATCTGTCCTTCCAGTGAGCACTCAGGGCTGATTTCCTTCAGAATGGATAGGTTTGATCTTCTTGAAGTCCATGGGACTCTTAAGAGTCTCCCCCAGCACCATAATTCAAAAACATCAATTCTTCAGCAATCAGCCTTCTTTATGATCCAGCTCTCACTTCCATACATCACTACTGGGAAAACCATAGTTTTAACTATACGGACCTTCGTCAGCAAGGTGGTGTTTCTGCTTTTTAAGATGCTGTCTAGGTTAGTCATTGCTATTATACTATTAGTATATAAAGCCCCAAAAGAAATGTGGCCAGTGTTCTTAAAAGATCACCTTACTCCTTATACCTCAGCAGGTTCTTTGCATTCTGCCACTGAGGCACGTCTCACAGGGCTTGGCCGTGTTCGACTGCCCTCAACAAGGAATTGGGAATTTAGTGTAGTGGCACTGGTGTTGTAGAACTCTCTCCGTAATGAAATTTAAGTTTGAAATCAAACTGGTTGCCATCTGTAATGAGGTGTTTTTTTTAGGCAACAACTTATAAATTGATTATTTATTGTGAAAATTATCTACTTTTTATAACTTCCTTGTAGGACGAGTCATTCTGCACTTCTGTTTCCTTCCATTTTGTATTTTGCTTTGATTCTATTTGTCATGTTGTTTTGGTTTTGAGATTCATACACTCCATTTTTGAATAGGTCTGTGACATAGAAATGAATAAATAAATTTGGTGGAAGAAATCAGCCCTCCGTTTCTCTTTCCCCAGTAGTAGATTGTGCCCCCTGCTGTTCCTAGAGCAGTGATTTTTTTCATCTTTTGGGGAAGCACGTGCAACACTGGTTTTCACATACGATTCTTCCTATAGGATTAGGGTGCTATGAAAGCATGCCGTTTTTGGTTATGATTTATTTTTGACATTTTAAATCCCACCTTCCTTCCCCAGAGTTCAGGGTTATGAGCAGAGTTCAACTCATGTTGTCTTTGCAATATGCTGAAAGATAGTGACAGGAGCCAAGGTCACCCAGTGAACTCCATGGTTGAATTGGGATTTGCATCCAGGCCTCCCCAATTCTGCTACCCTACACTGGCTTTCTGTGATATGAATGGAAATTGGCTTGTAAGTTGTCTGGTGCCCTTCCTGCAGGTCGAACCAAAGCAGCCACATAACTATCAATCTTTTACTCAAAGGGATTTTTATAGCATATTGTTTCAATTTTACAGATGAACAAGACCAAGAAGCAGAGCAAGTGCCACAGACCTTAAGCCCTGACCTCAGCTTTAACAAGTCACAGTTAAATGACTGTCCAAGAGACTCTGGTTGCTACATCTCACCAGAAAATTCAGATAACAGCAAAGAAGACCTGGATACAGAGAACCTGCCTGACATGGTGCGGGCAATCACCATCACTGAATCAAACTGAAAACGGCTCGCATTTCCAGCATAGTGACTCACAATGAATTTGCCACTTCAGCAAATGCATGGAACTGATCTGTTAGTCTGGGCATGCAATAATTGACAGTACCATGCATTATCAATGAATGTTAAGACTGGACAAGCCATTTGATTTCTATCTTTTAAAAAACTGCAAGAACAGATAAGTCTGTTGAATCTTCTATATGTTTGAGCAATTGCATTTTTATACATTATTTGTACAGTAAACTGCTTTTCTATCATGTGAGAGTAACTAGATAATGGTTTATAGTTCCAAGATTGTTCATTTCAAAAAAAAATATCTAAATATTGTAAATAGTGTATGTAATTGCTATTTTGCAAGTTATCTTATCCTTTGTATCTAATTATAGTTCCTCCACCACCACCACCAAAACGCCACTGTGATTAAAATGTAGCCAGGCAAATATTTAAATATGAATTTTTCTTGCCCTAATTTCAACAATGCAATGCAGAGTTAACTCTAATCATCACTTAAAACGATTTATATTGTCATAAAGTAAAGGAATGTTAATATATATAGAAATTAGACTATAATCGCACTGGGTAGTGTCTTCCAAATACACTGTGCTCCTTTTTATAAAGGGTTTACTTATTCCTTTTGTTGTTTTCTTTGTAAACAAGTGAAAGGAGAGTTATTAGAAGCAAGTGATTTTCTTTTTCTTAATTCTCTATTTCAAACCCTTCTTCAGTGTGCTTAATATAAACATAGACATTCAGAAATTTCTATTTATCAGTGAACAGTCAATTACAGGTTGAAAAATGAGTATATAACATTGTCCATCCCTCAGAGAACTATCATGTCTGCATGTATCTTGCAATGAAGTTTTTTCCATTCTCTTCTTAAAAGTACTCTCCTTGAAAAATAAACCAATATCACTGAGTCCATTTAATTGTTAACGTTTATATTTCTACCCCTATTATTTATACTAAATATTTTTCAGAACATTTTATTCTGTATTATAACAACATAGACAACATATAACAACATGTTCCATATTATAACAACATATCAACATAGAAGCTCACACTTCACAATATAACTGCCATTTTAAAAATATATAGTTTTAGTTACAAATTGGAATTTATTTAATTTGTAAGGTGGAAAGCAAAACCTACTAAAGATGGGTGAAAAATATGGTATTCTGATGTAAAAATGGTTCAGTGAACCTATATTGTTCATCAGTCTGTAGAAGATCAACTCCCCACTGCAACTTCTGGAATCCATTCTGGACTCCAGAGGCCCACTAGTGGACTCCGCTAATGAACCTGCCAGAAGCTGGCAGGTTCAGACTTTATCAGGTGCTTCCATGTTGGCATGGAATATGTTCTTTTCTGTGGTTCTCTTATATTTGGAAGCCTGGAACCAATTTGTGGTAGAAGTATGCAGATGCCTTTCACACAACTGTTGTCTTTGCAACCAACTCCGTTTGGAAGAACTAGTGTGAATTGCCCCATGTACATGATTGCAAGTTTCCAAATATTAAAGCAATAACCAAGGGTGATATGCAACTAATTTTGTACTCGGAGTAGAACCACTGAATTTAATGAACATGTCCACATTAAGTCCATTGATCTCAATGGGTCTAATTTGAGTAAAATGTAGTTGACTGCCACCCATAATAAAGAATTAATACCTGGTTAGTATTACCTGAAAGAAGAAGAACCTGGCTAACAAGGTGCTAACCTCCAAGCTAAGACCCCCAAAAGTGAATTCTGTATTAGAGCAGGATGTGAGATATGGGACTGCACAAGTTACTCACAATATTTTCAGGTGCACAGCAGGCAAGGAACAGAGGCTGTGATCCAGGCATAGGCAAACTCGACCCTCCAGGTGCTTTAGGACTACAACTCCTACCATCCTTGACCACTGGTCCTGTTAGCTAAGGGTGATGGAAGGTGTAGTCCCAAAACATCTGGAGGGCTGAATTTGCCTACGCCTGCTGTGATCGAAGGGTGCAGTTGTGGCATCCCCGCACAGCCCTACCCAAGCAGCCTCGCAAGGCTCAGATCTGGGGAGGGTGGTGCGAGAAGGGCACAACTGCCATTCAGCTTGGGGCTGGTGTCGCTCCAGTGGCAGCGAGGGCTGAGTATGAGCGATGGGCTCCGTTTGTTCTCCACCCTGCCCCTGGCATGCGTGCGCAAACATGTGTGGGCACACACAGCTGCCCCAGGCAGCATGGAAACACACTCCACCACTGGAACTAGTGGTTAGCAAAATCCACTTTTCCCCAAAACCCCAATGCCCTGGTCACTGACCATCCCCTGCTGTACACTGTCTAGTCCAGCCACTTGCAATATTTTGGTGGAGCCAGACAGGTATTGGAAAACAGACTTAAAGGATGTGGGTAGAAAGCCATTATCAGACTAGGACCTGGGAGAACATGATTCAAATCGCCCCTTGGCCATGAAGGTCACTAACCTTCACAGGGTTGTGATGGAGATTAAATAAGGAAGGAGAGAACCATGTTTGCCACCTTCAGCTCCTTAGAGAAAAAAGGTGGGATATAAATGCAATATATAAAATAAATAAAAACCTTGAAATAATTATAGTCTAAACCAGGAAAACTTAGCTTGTGCAAATAGCACCAGTACCCAAAGCTTTAAAATGAACAGGGGAAGAAAAGTGCTTTATTGTTGTGGAAGTGACAAAGAGTTTTGATATTAAAAGCCAGCAGTTCTCAAAAGTTATGTTCAGCATTTAAAATTCTACATGAATTGATTAGCTCCACACTGTACAGTACCTTGTAATTTCAAACAAAAGCCTAGGTACTACTCATCCAATTAAAACCTACTCAACTGAAAATCCTATTTATCAGAAACAAATGTTTGTCCTATCTATACCGTCAACAAACTATTCACATGAGCGGCTAGCAATAAACAACAGAAAGCTGCACAATGAATGTCAATTAATGCAATTTGCTTTTCAAATAAACTTGCTCTCTATGTGCACAGCGTAAGTACTGTCCTGTGTAACCATTATATAAAGGTCAATTAACTTCAATTCTAGTTAACGTGCTTATACTAAAATAAACCCAGCAGAGAACCCTTTTTTTCCCCATTCTGTGCCGCTTGGTACACAAAGAAGTTGAAAACACTTTTCTCCCAGAATACTCCATGTTTCATGTTATAGATCATTCTGAAACACACAAAGTCTTTGGCATCTACTGGGTGCACTTTTCTGCAACTTTAATGTAAGATTTCATTATCTGGCACACCATATAGCCATGTCAGGAAAGCAGAGGTCCGCAGTGTGTTGGCATGCAAAGACTTTAAGACATGCACATTAATCCAAGACAATGCCAACACCTCTCTTGAAGTTGAAATCTTTCCTAAAGATAGCCCCAATGCTTTCAAGATTGTAAATGGGTTTTATCTTTGGCCTCAGAATGTCAGCATTTATAGCAAAAGTCAATCAAGTGCTTCCTTTGCTTAATCAGGAGGAATATTTGCCATGTAATGGGCAGCTTTGGAAGCCCTTGTGTGGAATTATGCAAGCAGCACTAATTGAAAGGCCCATCAGTGGTTTAGAAATAATTGAAGCAAAAGCAATTGGTTGAAGTCAGGAGTATTGGTCTGGGAAGGTACAGAACCCTATCCTCGCCAAAAAAGAAAAGGGGAAAAGGGGGAAAAGGGAAACTGTAAAGGCAGGTAATTTGAAAGAGCATTTGGTCTGACTGCTGTGTCATCATTCGCTTTTCTGCTGAATCTTTGTTTCTTTAGATCAGCAGTTTCGAAATGTTTTTTCCCCTACAGTGAACCACAGAATTTTATTTTATATTGTTCAAGAAACACATGACTTCTTTCAGCATCTGGTGTGCCCTTGCCATGGCCAAAGTAATGGTGACCTGGCAACCCACTTCCAATCTTCCTTTGGTGGGTACAAAATTTATTATCTGGGATAGTATTAGATAGAGTCAGTTCATACAGTCATTTTTTAATTCAGTGAAGTCAACCCAAGTCATCTTTTCCAATACTTGGCACGCTAGTCTAGCCTTGAAAATGTTCTAACATAACTCAAGACCTCTTTGCTCATTTTCTGAATGAAGGGTCAATGTGGATACAAAGTGGGTCTGTGGGGTGTACATTTACCTCCCCATCCCAGAAGTCACAAGGTTCCTCTGGCCCCTCCCAGGTGAAGGAAAAAACTTCTGAAGTGAAGTGCCTTTTCTATCAATGTAGCCTCGGTTACATTGATACGGTTTGGTACAGTGCATATACTAAACTATGGAATTCACTGGATGCGGGTGGCGCTGTGGGTTAAACCACAGAGCCTAGGACTTGCTGATCAGAAGGTCGGCAGTTCGAATCCCCGTGACGGGGTGAGCTCCAGTTGCTCGGTCCCTGCTCCTGCCAACCTAGCAGTTCGAAAGCACGTCAAAGTGCAAGTAGATAAATAGGTACCGCTCTGGTGGGAAGGTAAAAGGTGTTTCCATGCGCTGCTCTGGTTCGCCAGAAGCGGCTTAGTCCTGCTGGCCACATGACCTGGAAGCTGTACGCCGGCTCCCTCGGCCAGTAAAGCAAGATGAGCGCCGCAACCCCAGAGTCGGCCACGGCTGGACCTAATGGTCAGGGGTCCCTTTACCTTTATGGAATTCACTATGACAAGATGCAGCGGCAGCTACCAACTTGGATGGCTCTAAAGGGGGACAGACAACTTGATCAAGAATGGGTCTATTGGTGACTACTAGTCATGATGGATATGTTCTACTTCCACTGTTGGAGACAGTATTGCTGCAAATCACAAGTGAGAAGAGTGCTTCTGTGATCATGTCCCATTTACAGGTTTCTCACAGGCATCTGGTTGGCCCGTGTGAGAACAAGATGCTGGACTAGATGAGTCTTTGATCTTCTCCTGCAGGGCTCTTTTTCTGTTATTAAAATGACTAGGGAGTTACATTTTTATATGTGTTAGAAGATCACCAAATGTTTATTATTAAGTTTTCGTATCTTAAACTTACATAACACGTCATGTACCCGAAAAAAGTCCCAAAGTGATTTATAAGACAATAAAATACAGAAATACAATTGAAAATCCATTAAAACAGTGCAATACAAAACTGGTTTACTACAGAGAAAGCCTCTGTAAAAGAATATCCAGATGGGTTGACTTAGCTATGTAAAAATAAGCATGACAGCAAGACTTCAAAATCAGCATGTTTTTACAAATACCTGCAATGTCTTATATAAACCCTGACACAGAATCATTTTCAAAGAAATCAGTGAAACTAATTCAGGTCAGTGCTTGGTTTCTTTTGTTTGTTTTAAAAGTATTTTAGTTGCGGATCTGATATTTCTGAAAACAAATATAATTCAATGTGGCAGTTGGCATCTTTTTTTTAATAAATCACATATTCTGGATTACAAGGAGTTAGGAGTCCCAAAAGCCTCAATATAATTTTGAAGTACTTCCAAGTGGCCAGCAAAGGACAGATGAGGGCACAGACCTTAATGAATTCCTACAAATACGTAACCGGAGTTTTAAAAATATAAACTATTGGGGGTTATTCCAAGACAAATCACAAGCTCTGGGGAACTCTGGAGTTAAGGGAAAGTTCAGTTAAATCAATGCACTGCAAGACCCATTCAGACAAATTGGACCAATATAATTTCAGAGTTCAAACCTCGCAGCTTGACATTGCTCTCCATTCTTCTTGACAGGGCAAAGTACTATAGCCCTTCATTTTTATTAATCACTATGTATTTGTGTTTTAAATACTATTTGCTGTGCCTAACTATTTAAACCAAGGACTATCCCCCCAAAAGCAATGGCTGGGTTGACTGCATTCTTTTTAACAATGTGGTCATTGTTTTATCAAACCACCAATATTCAGACTTTTGCCAGTTTACCTCTCAAGAAATTCAACAGAGGAA